CTGAGGCTATACAACTGTTCCTTGTAACTCGCCATCATGTCATTTGTTAGTCCATCACCGCACCGATCCGAGAAACTATGTTGAAACACAGCGTCCAGTAAATCGTCTCGTGCGTCCTTGTACAATTCTCCGAAAGTAACAACTGTCGCCCTCAACTGACTATCGCTTACTGGAAACCTCATTGTATTTTGCACCTGCAAAAACGCATTTCTATGTGCAAGCTCCACACCAACTGCTCGCAATGATTGCAACATACCAATCAAACAACTTTTCGGAAACTCTTCTAAACTTCGACGTAATGAAAGCTCAAACACCTCTGATGCAAAAGAAGGATCAATCGATGGCAAGGCACTCGCCGACAACAATTTTCTCAATCCACTCTCGGCTGTTTCACAGAGTAGACGCAAATACTCACACTCTTGGGACACATGCGGATCAACTTTAGTACTAAGCTCAATAACTTGGTCAACTAAGTCATTTCTAGAGGAGGATTGAATTAAAGACGTAAGTTGGCGGACAATGTCCTCGCCAACATCATCCTCTTTCTTCGCATCTACACTACCGGACAAAGAGCAATCTCTCACCTCTTCACTTCGTTTCCTTTCCAGGAAGTTTTCAAACACTGATCGTGCATTCACGTCAATTTTTACGAATGCACTCCTCAGGGCAGTCACTTCCGCCTCCTTCTTCTTCAACATCCCAAGCAACTCATCCTGAGTCCACCGAAGGCCTTCATTGTCTGTCATATAGCGCCCACATTCTCTTTTCAATGCGGAATCGTTTGGAACCTTACCTGCAATACCATAAGACACTTTAGACTCACGCTGAAGCAGACGCTGCTCTATGTGATGAATCTGTGAAGCCATGCCATACTCGTATCGTTCACTACATCCCTCAAGGTATTTCCTTTTCGTACGAGCATCGGCGAGCCAATTTCCGAATACACCATACGCATCACTATGTGCCTCAATTTGCATCTGCACATTGGACCATGAAATTCCTTCAACCGGACTATTTACCTGCCTGTCGACAACCACATTCATTTGAGTAGATGCTTGTCCATCTGCGGACACCACCATGAAAAAACAATCAACCAATTAATCGATCAAACTGATTGATTGATCAAAATAAGGGGGAGAGAGAGAGAGAGAGAGAGAGAGAGAGAGAGAGAGAGAGAGAGAGAGAGAGA